AGTAGTTTGGCCGTATGAGTCAAATAAAATAAAAAATTCAACCTGAAATAAATAAATAAATATTAAATAAAAATAACTTCAAACTGAAATAAATAAATAAACAAATCTGAGTCATAAATAGCCATCAATTACTCATCAAAAGAAAGTAACTTCCACCACATCAACCCCCCACCCTTGATTAAACACTGAAAATAAAATAAAAGAGGGAGACAGGTTTTTCCTATTTAATCTTATTTTGTTATATTTCTTCCTCTCCCCTCTCTGGAGGCGTCCGATCTCCCTCAGCCCTCCGCCTCTCCCACCTTAATTAAACACTGAAATAAAATACAGAGACATTCTTTTCTATTTTCGTCTTATTTAGCTATATTTCTCCCTCTGCCCTCTCTGGGAGCATCCGACCTCCTGGCCCCGCACATACCCCCGAGGCTCGGGTCTCCCCCCCCCTGCAGCTCTGCAAGTGCCTGCCAGCGCACCCCTCTTATTGTTCAGATGTCGAGTGCTGTCAATCATTGCAGCGACGCATGGGCGGTCAGGTCTCTTCTCTCCTTCCTCGAGCTGATTCTACGCGCGCCTCACGGTAGCGCATGTGCGCATCCATTGCGCATATGCACAAATGCGTCCCCTTGCGCAAAATGTGGCCCCCCATGGAAGATGAGGCCCTACGCACAGCGCGTGTTCTGCATTTAGGGAGGTGCGGCCCTGAAGGTACCCTGGGTGTGTTGGTTGTTGATGTTCTGGGAGGCCGTGTCAAGTTCAGCCTGTTACATCCATTGTCTGTTTTCAAAATACACTCAGTTTTCACAGGAAATGTACAGTTTGCATACAGTCTCTTTCAAAATAAAAGGAGTAAATTGGTACAACTGTGGATTGACATTTTCTTTCCTTCGACAACACACAGAAAAAAAAAACAGGGTCTGGCTTTACAATATTTCGGGAAGAGAACACCTACCTCCTAGGTGAAAGTCGTGGTTGTTGGACCTATCCACCACCCCTCCTGCTCATGGACTTGGACTTCTGGCCACTTAATTTACGCTGTTGTCCAGCCACATTTCCCTCCAATGCTGCCAAGCGCAGTTTAACAATAACGGCAACCAGCCACGATTCATGCTGATGTGACAGGACATCTTTTTTCATCGGTGGCAGACGCTGAAAGTCACCAACCAAGCGCTGGTATTTGATGACTTCAGGATAAGACAGGGTTGGTAAGTTTTGTTTTGCACATGTTTTTAACGCTAAGTTGAATGCAAAAAACTTAAATCTCTACTCTAGGGATTGCATTGTGGGAAGTGAAAGCCTAATCAGTATACTCAGGTTCCTGTTGGACTTACTTTAAAAAAAAAATCTTTTTCCTCATCCAAACTTGCTGCCAACATAACCCATAATGCGTCTCTCCCTCTGACAGTTGGGAGTTAGGTCATGGTGTGGTATGCTAGCAGCAGCTGATGTTTCCCGGAGACTCGAGCCTTCAGCAGAAATGACCAGCTGGCTGCAGAGCTCTGGTAAGCTCGTCTTCCTCCCTCCACAACTCCAGATTATTTACTTTTAAAACTTGATGCCGACTCAAGTGATATCACTTGAGGACATTTATCCAACTCCCTCTGGTGTTGTTCTATTTTTAAACATGTGCAGTAGAACACCCCGACACCCGAACTGAGTTCAATTTTAATGCATGAATGAAAGATAAAAAACAGTCTGAATACAAAATGAAAAGTGAACGTGACACACTGAGCTGGAGGGGTGTCCTGTCCCTGTCCTGCCCCTCAGTGCCTTCCCTCCTCATGGATACCTAGCCAGGATCCTCCATCCACTTCCATTACGTTCCTCATCTTACAGCTGCCTGGATCAGTTTCCTGAGCTAAGTAACAGCCGGCAGAGTTCAGACAGGCTCACACACACTCTCTCACACACACAGCCACAATGGTGAGATAATTACTGAGTTCTCTTTGTAGCTTCACGCTGTCACCCAGATTTCACCTGCAACCTACTTACTGGTTTTTCACCCTTCACTCATGTTTTCCTGGTTTCTTCACAGGCGAAGTTCCTGACCCAGGATCAGATTAACGGTAAGACTCTCACACATTTCACATTACAGCTGAAATGAGTGATGACACAAGCGTTGAAGTGAATAAACTGCTCTATGCTCTTTCGGCAGCACAGGGAGCAAATGCAGTAATTTCATGAGATTATTCCTCTGTCACAGTCAAACAGATCAGCAGTGATGTTATTTAATCAGACAGCAGAGTTTTCAGAACAAAGCAGCACTTGTCCCTGTTCACGCTGAGCAGATTCACACAGCGATCTGTTGGCCGACTTCCTCGACCTGCTAATGTGATTAAATACAAAGGTTTTCTCTCTGAACAGTTTTTAGCCTAATGAAGAGGCATTCATTCATATTATTCTCTCTATTTGGAAGCAGAGCAGTTATTGAGGCTTTGTTTCTGTGTATTGTATCTAGTTCAGCAGCTAAGATGTTTTTGTGTTCACAGGTTAACATGTTATCAGTGACTGTATCAGTTTGAAGGTATTTAGGGCTGCTGCAACTAATGATTATTTTCGTTGCTGATTTTTATTCAGACCAATAGATTCATCATTTAATCTGCTAAATGTCAGAAAATAGGCAAAGATACATATCACAATTTTCCACATTTCTCAAGGTGACATCCTCAAATGTCTTGTTTTGTTTAACCAACTGTCCAAATGTCAAAGATATTTAATTTACAATGAAAGTTTGTTCATAAAGGCAAATTCTTGGCATGTGCCAAGAACTAAGGTGGCGTTGAAAAAGGAAATGGCCCTTTTCAGAGCCAGTGTTTGGCTTGTCCTTTTTGGGCTACTGTACAAACAACATGGCAACTCTATAGGAAAGGACCATAGACTCATGGGTGCAGATCTGATGACAAGTTTGGGGGG